TTTCCCAGGAGCAAATTGCCTGGCAGAATCTTATTAGCCCTTTTCTACTCCAGGCAAAACTGATTTCTGTTGCCTCAAATCTCTTCTCAGAGAACTCTCGGTTCTCTGAAGTTATTTTTGTAATATTCTTTATTGTTGTATTTTTGTTTATTCATTTTTTGGTACTGGGGATTGAACCCAGGGGTGTTCTACCACTGAGCCACATCCCCAGTCCTTTTTATTTTGCATTTTGAGACAAGGTCTTGCTAAGTTGCCAGGCTGGTTTCAAATTTGTGATCCTCCTGCCTCAGATTCCCAAATTGCTGGGATTACGGTGTGAACCACCACACCCGGCAATGCTCTACCTTTCTAATTTACTAATTAAAAATGTTTTGGGTCTTTACTGTATGCCAAGCATGGATCTGTGTGCTCAGTCATAAGACAGAAAATGTATCTGCCTTTGTGGTGCTGACGTCCTAGCAGAAGTTGTTGACAAAGCCTCTTCCTGTAGTATATTGGACTTCCAATTTCAATTGCAAAGCTTCTAAGATAATAAAAAATTGAAGTCCAGATAATGATTATTAGTAACTGACTTAAATTTCTGTATTATTCCCAAATTCGGCATAATTCTAAATTTTATGTGTTTAGAAAAAATTCTAAATTTTTGTGAAATCTGATTGTGAGTACAAATGGGATTGCATGTTCCTATTCTACATTTTAATACATCTTTCTTAAGTTAAAAATATCAGCCCTCAGTCAGTTTTGCAGAGTAGAACTATTTATGTTTAATCTGAAACTGTTTTAATCAGGTGGATTTTTAGCTCCCTCCTTTTTTGCAGCTTTATTGAGGTATAATTGACATACCATAAACTGCACATTTTTAAAGCCTATAGTCTGGGTGCTTTGATATTTAGTATGTACTCAGGAAACTATCACCACCATCGGGGTAATGGACATGTGCGTTGCCCTGTATGCTCAGAAAGATATTAGTTTGTGTGTGTTTGAGTGTATTATGTTTTATATAAGATATCTAAAATATATAAATATATAATCCATTGCTTCTTAGACTTGTGGCTAAGACTGAGTGTAAAAATATATAACGGTTTCTGATTCCAGTTAATGGCAGAATGAATTGGCTGGGTGAACTCTCCCTGCCACTCAATACAGTTACAAAATCTAGACAAACTATTCCATGGCAATAAAAAGTGAAAAAGTAGAATTTTGAGTTCCCTTAAAAGAGCATGCCGTCGATGACTAAGAATGGCAGTGTTTGCAAGATGTCTTTGCTTGAGGGCATTCCCCAGTCCCTGGATCTCGTGTGGCAGAAAACGCAGTCTCCCCTGCTCCAGGTGGCAGAGATAGAGTTCCGAGTTGGCAAGGGGAGCTGGAAACTTAGGGAGGGAATTCTAGAAGTGCAGAAAGGTAAGATCCAAAGTCGGAATATAAGATCTGCTCAAATCTTTGGCTAACTGCAAAAGTATGTGTATACAGGCCTGACCTGAGTGTGAGCCTGGCAGAAAAAGAAAAAAGAAAACAAGTGGGCAGAAATGTGAGAGGGGCCTGCGTCTGAAAGACCAGCGCACTCACTGAGATTTGTCTGCTCCCTACTTGTTTGTCTCCTCCTCCTCCCTCCTCTTTGCTTGTGTGTGTGTGTGTGGGGGGGGGGGTACTAGGGATTGAATCTAGGGCACTCTACCACTGGTACAGCCCCAGCCCTTTTTATTTTTCATTTTTGAAACAAGGTCTCACTAAATTGTCCAGGCTGGCCTTAAACTTGCCATCCTCCTCTGGCCTCAGCCTCCCCAGTTCCTGGAATTACAGAGTATGCCGCTGAGCCCGGCTGCTTGATGGCTGTTTTGATTGAGCACCTTCTGTGACCTTATGCATAGCTGTTGTGGCAGAGAATTGAAATTTTACTGGATCGAAGTATCAGATGATAGAACTTGAAGCTAAGAAAGCCAGTGGAAATACATGGGGAAATACCAGAAGCAGGAGAAACCTCAGAGAGGGTAAACTCCAAACTAGACTACAAATTTTGTCCAACTCGTTGCCTGACCATTAAACTACATAGGTATGGAAGTGATCCCCAAAGGGCTAGACTGAAAAGCAGTATCATAGTCAAAAGAACCAAGTAGAAGATGAACTGCTCCATCCTGGGAGAGAGAAGACTCTGTAGTTTGACTCTCAGCAAATTAACTGCTAATTAGAAGGAAAACTCAATCCTTAGAACATTACGGGTATCAGAGTCACTCTCCTATGTTGTCAACACTGGCTTGTTTTTAACAAAAAATGTCATCAGATGTAGAAAGAAACAGAAGTATGACCCATTTGCAAGAAAAGTGTGGTTCATATCCATCCATGGAAAGGGACTCCAGTGGGGCCAGGTGGTGAATTTAACAGTCTTTTAAAACAGCAGTTTTGAACATGTCCAAAGAACTAAAGGGGAAAGTACATTAAGAATTCAACAGATGCATCTTTTTTTGTGTATGTGATGCTGGGGATCCAACCCAGGGCTTTGTGAGTATGAGGCAAGCGCTCTACCAATGAGGCCCAGCCCCAGCCCAAAACAGATGCATCTTAATGAGTGAACGAGTTGGTGTCTCTGCAAACATTTGGCCTATTTTTCTAATGCTTCAAGATATATGTAATTTAAATAAATATGGATTAGTCAGAAATCTTTACCAAATCACACCCGCCTACACTTTATCACTTTCCCAGTTCTTGGTTTCTCTTGCCGAGAGCACCAGCAGGTCAACTAATCTAACAAAGGTAGGTTGGCCAGAGGCCTCTAGACAGCACACCCCTACTTCTCCCTCCACTTCTGAAGAAGCTTGGGTGGTTATATTATCCCTGACCACTGGACAGGAGGGTGGGTCAGCCCTGTTCTTGGTGTAGTTTTTCCAAGATGGAGGCAACAGGTCATCTTCCTGTGTCTGGCCATTCCCCCACCACTCCTAATGCATGCCTGTAGCTTACTGTCTTCCCTAAAAAGTGAATTTGGGCTGACGTTTCTTTTTGGTTTTCTCTAAAATATTGATTTATAAAAATGTTTTTATTTGTGAATATATTCTTCTTTTAATTTGATATCATTTTAATTGTTACTGATTATTTTATGTTACAATAAAAAGATTGCAGATGCAGAGACATCTAGATCTAGAAGGGACTTAGAAAGTGTGAACCCTCATCATTTGTATATAGAGTACAATCTTACACTATTTAAATTAATAAACTATCAGCCTGGGTTTGGTCCAGAAAGCAGCCATGGTAGATGTGTGCTATAGTTATAATAGGGCCTACCAAATGTGGGGAAGTTGGGGAAGTGAAGATGCGTGGAGGGAAAATCAGTGGAACCACCGGATTGAACCCAGGGCACTCTACCACTGGTGCAGAGGAAAAAAGCCAAGCGTGTCTTATGGCAAAGGCCCGGGTGCCTCCCAGGGCTGCCTGCCTGCCAAAGATAGTGGCCTCTGCTTAGCTTATGCCTTCCAAATTTTAGGTATGTTCCCATCATGTAGACGGTGACCGGAAGTCATAGGAACAGGGATTTGAGGTATGTAGTGGCCATGGCACCAAGTGAACCCGGCTCTCTCTCCCTCACCCTTTCGCCCCCACCTCCCTTGATCTTTTCCTGGTCCCTGAACTCTGCCTGTCTCCCTGGCTCACTAAGCCACTCTGGAGGGTTGATGTTTTCTCATTCGTAGACTCATCTGAGATTGCTTCCCATAGCCACAGTCACCTCTCTTAAGAATTCTTCAAAATAGCATTAATTTCTCTCATGCTTTGCTCTTGAACTCTGAACCTGAGGTGAATGCTCTCTTCAAGTGTTGCCCATGTTTCTATTACTCACTTGAGCAGAGCCCCAGGTTGTTAGAACTGCAAACATGAATTTTATCAATACTTTAGATTCCCAGCTTTAGTCAAGAAATATATCAGTAAAGACTTGCAGGAGTAATTATCCTGAAACACTGAGAAATCTCAATGTTTGATTTGCTGGAAACTTTGAAACTAAAATCTGGAGTGAAATTACAGAATAGAGTCTGTTTTCCAAATTGGTAGAGGAATGTTGATGTGGCCCTGAACCCGCTGGTCTGAAGCCATGAGCTAAGCTCTAGTTTGTACTTGTTTGAAACGATCCATAAATAATAACCCTGTGTACCTCCCTCTATACCCATTCACCCAGTAACCTTTTTTTTAACATTTGAAAACCTTCTATGACCAGGTGATGAATAACTGAAAATCCAGCTTAATATAGGATTTTTACTAATGATTGCTCTTTGCTTTCCAAATGACTGGAAAACTTGGCAGTCTTAGTTGTACATTTTTTGAATATTAAGTAGTTGAGAAATATGACCTAGCTCACAGAGACACTGAATATGTGAATAATCTTATTTTGGAAAGTATTCTATTTAGAAGAAAGATGTATACTTTTTAATTAGTGAGGTGCATGATCAAAATTTGTGAACCAAATGAATTTTTATTGCTAACAATTTTTGTCATGAATCAAATGTAGGTTATATACATATGAACGATTTGTTTAAATCTTGTTTTTTGATTAACAATTCTTCAGATTATATTAGTTTTATGATATGAAATTAAATGGTAGCAGCTCAAAATTATGTAATTATTTATTGACCCTCAGTACACAGA